GCCTCTCTGCTCTGACTTTGGACGCACAGAAGCTTGTCCGTGGGGACTGGCAGAGCCATGGGCCTCCTCGCCAGGGTTACGCTTTTCCCTTCCAGAGCCTGCGCAGAGACGGACGCACGGGGCCCAGTGTCATGGAGGAGCCCCAGGGAATAGTAAGTCTTTTGCTCCAGTGGGGTTGATGGCACTTACAGCACTCCGGTTGTAAACGCAGCGTCTCTCAAACAGACCTGAGATTTGCTGCTGGGAGAGGGCTCAAAGGGGCACCTGGAAGCCCCAGAGGCGCTGTGACGGGGAGTCGGAACGGTGGGTCACGTCAGGGAGGTCTCTGCTCGCAAACCGCCTTTGACTCCCCACCTTTTCTGTGCTGCTGTCATGCTGAGTTTAGGATTACAGCAACCAGCAGAAGCCAGAAGCAGAGGAGAGGAAATCTCCAGCCCGCAGGTTGACTTTGCCACTGCTCACCAGTGAGGACAAGAAGAAGAAAGGAGAGAAGAACAAGCCAGGTTGGGGGAGATTCCCTTATACAGTGCCCTGCTGCCCCTGCCCACTGGGGCTGCATTTGCATTAACCCAGTGCTTTCTGCTGGGATACATTCAGCAAGAGCCACAAAAAGAAAATTACCTGAGGGGAAATGCTGAGAATAAAGGGGGAGAGCTAGAAAAGGCCAGGGAATGCTTTGTAGGCTCGGCTGCTGGGCTGTAACTGCGAGTGGCTTTTGCTGGGGCTGCAGAAGGTTTGAATTCAGTCTCTCAGTTGTTCTTTATGTTTCCCTCAGTGACATATCACAGGAGAGAGTAGACGTAAAGCGTTAAAACTGGACTGTGAAATAACCACAGGCCTCTTTTTTTATTTTACCAGTTGCATTTATGCTGAATAAAAAACCACCCTTGCCTTCAGAGACATCATCATCCCAAGAGCAACACAGAAGTTTTACTCAGAGGAAATTAGCGCTCAAGAAGGCTGAATTAGCTAAAACCTTGGAAGAGATCAAAATTACCACAGTACGTGCAACAAATACCCAGCGCTGGGACGTAGGTAGCAAATCCATACAGTTACCCTGGCTGCCTTTATGGAGGAAATTCTAGCGGTCTGACTCACTCTAGCAAAATGGCACGTGTTTATTTATTAATACACTGGGGGTAATTATGCTGCTCTGCTTAATGCTGGTGAAATCTAACCTTGATATTGTGTATCAAGAAATATTAAGAGAAACCAGGAGAGAGCCCAGACTGTAGCAGTAGGAGGGATGAGATTTAAGAAATGTGACCTGTTAGAAAAGACTGTTGGTATCAGATTTTCTCAGTCTAGCAAAGAGGAGGCTGAGGTGGAGGACATGACCACAGCTTTTCTAGTAGCTGAAAGATGGTTATAAAAGAGACGGTGATCCTGCCGCTGGCAGTAAGGAACATGGGAGCAGGGTTGTGCTGTATGGGGGAAGTCAGCGTGCCTCCGCACTGAGGCTGAGGTTTGTTTTGTGGTGCCGGGGTGGCCAGAGCCTTGTTGGTGCTGTTACCATGCGACTGGAATGTCCCAGGAATGGCAGGGAAACGTGGGGTAGGTGGCACTGGTGGAGTCTGCAACACTTTAATCCACAAATTCCCATAGAATCTGACCAATCTGAAGAAAAATGCCATCGAGGAGCTGAAGCAGCGCAGTGCCCGCCTGGCAGACGCCAACTGCCGGCTGATTAAGGACATCCAGCACACTGATGACACCACTGCCAAGAAAGCAAGGGTCTTGCTGCAGCAGTATGAAGTATTTCAGGTGAGGCTTTAGACCCAATTCAGCAGAACTTCCCGTTACTCCTGTTAGTACTGGAGAAGGGCCAGGCGCTGCCCAGCCCCTTCCACTGCACTGAGTGTGACTGGAGCATCCCCAGCCCTGGGGGGAGCTCTCTGGTGCCCAAAGAACCTGCGAAGTGCTCTTGTTTTGTGTGTGTTTTAAAGCCACAAGAGCACCATGGCTGTAACTGTCCCAAGCAACGGTAGTCACCCCTGTAACAGCCCAAATCTATCCCTCTGTAACGCCCTTGGCTCCTGACGCACCACTCTGCTCCCCAGAGCATGAGCTGGCACCAGCCACAGCGACGGATCCCTCTGTGCTGCTAACGCAAGCAACGGCACCTGAGGAACACCAGGGATGTGTAGGGGGATGTTTCAGAGCTCTGTGGAATAAGCAGTGACTGGATTTCTCCCTGTGCAGAGGGTGAAGGCAATGGTGCAGACCTTCAACCAGAACCAGCTGGATACAGCAAGGGCAGAGCTCCAGGAAATGGAAAAAACAATGGAAACGAATCTGGGACGTGAGTTGCTCACATTGCTGTGAAATGCAGCCTATCCAACCGTGTTACCTTTGCTTTCCGTCTGCTAGGCTAAAGACACCGTGTTGACCTTATAAATGTCAAACAATTCTGTTTCTGAAAATGAATCCCATTAGCTCCGTGGGGATGATCTTATTGCCAGCCGGTCAGGAGGGGGAGACCCCTCTGAATCCCAGCAGCCTGTGCTCGGGGGTGGGAAGAATCACCTCCTTGGCGGCTGTTTGCACCATCCCTTTGGGGCAGGACCTGGTCATGGGGTGGCCATTCCCGCTTCCCTCAGGGTGTGTAATCTCTGTAGAGAGAAGGGCTCAGGTAAACGCAGGACAGGCTCTTTAGTGAAGAAGCGAAGCTCTGGCACCCCTGGGTTGAGATTTTCTGTTTTGACTTTCAATCAGAGCTACAGCAGCAGCTGGATGAAGTCACATCAAAGGTACACGTTCTCCAGGACAAGCTCAGCATCCTGCGGACCTACATCGACGGGCAGTATCCAGAACAAGTTGTCCAGATAGCCCTTTTGCAGCGCAGCATCCAGAACCTGAAGGAGCAACAGCAGGTGCTGAGACCTCTCCTTCCCTGCAGTGTTGCCAGGGAGGAAGGAGAGGGCAGGGGAGGAAGGAACGCAATGGTTCTCTTGCCTAATGCTCCTGTTGTTTCTGTGCACTGCTTCCCACTGTCCTCAGGAGGAGATAAACAAGACAGAAGAAATGGGGAAGGCCATCTTGGAAGAACTGGAAGAGAAGGCACAGGCGGAACAAGAGGCGCTGTTACAGAAAGTCGTGGAGGTTCGTAGAGTTCATGTGTCATGCCAGCAAGGGAGATCATTGTCTGGGAGCTGGGAGACAAGGCAGGGGCTGCCACATATTGCCCAGTAGCAATAGCACGGTGCAGCCAGCACCCAAAGAGTAAGAGAACATTGCTGCTCCCCTCCTTATGCCGTACTGGAGCTGTTTGTCAGGCTGGGAGGGCACATGAGAAGTGCTTCTGACTTGCTGCTGTCGTCTGGTGTATTGAAATATTCTCAGACTCACTCCGGAGAGTTTGCCATGTAGAGGTGAGTGCACTGTGACCCAACATTCACCCTGCTTTTATGGTCCCTGTTCTATTACATTATTTAGGTAGCTGCTTCGCTAATTGGCTGTGACACCGCTGTGGTGGCGCACATATGTTTGTAATAAATTCACGAGGAAATTAAACCACATGCAGCACTACAGAGCAGGGACTGCTGTCGTTCTTCCCAAAATAGGATGAACTCCTGTTGCACAATTCCTGCTCGCATGATGTGCTTAGCACTTTTCCTGGGTTAGCAGCTTGAGAGCACTAAGAAAATATTAATTACTGACTCCGTTTACAGCCTGCTCTGATGCAGAACTGCTGTGCCCTGTTACAGGGGAATTTGTAAGCACAGGAGATAGAAGTTACCCAAGCAATATTAATAAAGCTTTCCCTGGGAAACTGAACGGGATCTCTTGAGTTCCTCAGTCTTTTTCCATGATAAGCACAACATGATCTCCATGACAGGCTCGCTCTAGAGCCAGAACCCAAACCTTATTCGAGCAGAAATTACTTCCTTGAAGAGTGACACATCTGGACACGGCCAGCATTGGCACCCAGCAGTGGCCGAGTTGCATGCTGGTGGTTACTGCGGAGTTTCTTCAGCTGGTTTTCTTCTCTTCACCCACCCAGGACATGTTGCTGCACCAGGATGGCCTGAAGCAGATGGTGATAAACAATCACGTTCTGCAACGTGAAATTCTGAGGCAAAGGGAGGTGAGCGAGCTGGGGAAGAACCAGTGCGGTGCAGCAGAGCCAGCCGCCCTCAGCCATGCCCTTCATGTGGATTTTGTCTGCCATAGTGGAGTGTGTTGCCTTCCATTCCCACTGGAGTCAGTGGGCTGTTAGGGCATCCTGAAGACAAGCAGGTGTTTCAGGAAGCCAGTTAGGGCCTGACTTGCATGAGGGATGTTTTCTAGCTCTGCTGTTTGCAAACTCTCTAAAACTTCAATTCCTGCTTCTATTGCAAAGTAAAGAACTCTTAGTGTTGTAATTCATTCAGGTTATTAAAGACCTGGAAGAGGAGATCGGTGAGCTGAAGAGAAGCATCCAGACACTCCGCCAGAATGCAAGAGACCCAAGAGAGCTGATCTTTGCTGATGTTCTCTTCCGCAGACCAAAGTAAGTCTGGTCAGTGGGCATGCACAGCCCTTTCTCTGGGGCCTTGGGCTGCCGAGTCTTTGGTACCGAGCGCTAATAACCTTACCCCATCGTTTCGACAGACATCACTGTTAAACCTACACCCAGCCCCGGATATAAACCCACAGTTACGTTGGTTCTGCTTGGGAAGGTGACTGCAGGGTCTCATGGTCTTGCCTAAGAGCAGCTAGGAATTAACCACAGCTCTAATACTGATGTGCTGTCAGGCTTGGTCACATCCCATCTCTCTTCTGGGCTTCCCTTTGTCCATCCTGCAAGGGGAGATTATTAGCGGCCGCAGCTGGGGACAGTCAGGACCAGCAGAGCTTTTCGAGGCCCGTGTGCCTACACTGACACTTACCTTATTGTTGGTTTCGCCTTGTAGTTGGGAAACAAAAGTGAGGGTCGCGGGCACGCTCGCGAGGAGCATCCCTGCCAAGGCAGGTCTTGCTCATCTAGAGCCGCCTTGCTGGTTGTGTGAAACGGCACCAGCACTCCCTGAGAATAAAGATGGGCAGCCATGTCCCTAATACGTAAAATATGTGTCGGCAGCCTTGGCTGGCAGCAAAAAGGCAAAACTTTCTTATCTTTCTCACTGCTCTTTTCCTGCCCCAGTTCTGTGGCAGCTAATTACTTCCCGAGCAGAGGTTGTGGGTAATCCCCACTCCTGCTTACCAGCGTGCACTGTGCTGATACTGGATATAAGAACTACAAAGCGTGAGGCAAATCCAGACTTAGCGTTGATGTGGAGAAGGCCCTGCCAGCTCGCTCAAAGGAACGCTGGGCTCTCCTCTCCAGGGACAGACGCAGATGGGCCAAGCCTGTGGGCTGAAGCACACCAACAGCCAGCTGTGACATGCTGTTTTCCACCATAAGTACAGCAGGCTGAAGGCGTAACGCTGCGGGGTCCTGCCTGGGATGGGACAAATCCCAAAAATCACAAATGATTTAGAGCTACTGAGGTGCCTCGGCTTTCTGTGCTGTCCTCTGACCAGGGGCACAAACCTGAGAAAAAAAATGCGTCAAATGTGTTTAGATCTCAAGTATGCTGTAGCCCAAAACCTGTAAGTTGTGTGCCGAGCAGCGTGCATACGCGCGTTATTTACAGCAACTGCCTATACAAATTGTTCTTGGCACAGGGACGTCTGTTAACGGAGTCATTCCCTTCCAGCGCGTCCTGCCGCTGCAGGTGCAGGCCAGCCCCTCGCCTCCTCTGCACCTCCTGCCCACGCAGGGGTTATTTTGCATGAAAATATCGTTCCTTGGGATGAGCAGAGGCTTACCCGGCAAACCAGCAGTGGTGCTGGTGACAAGAGGGGCTGGGTCCCCCGCTCCAGGGCCTGGGTTTTAGCTGGAAGCCAGGTATGGCTGCTGCGCTGCGGAGGCATGAGCCGAAGCAGGAGGAAAGCCTGGAACATGTCAGGAGAGCGTGAGGGAGGCGAATGGCTGCATGATGGATTAGTGCAACTTAATTTTTTTCCAGTTAAAAAAAATGATTAAAAAAAAGGGGAATTAATTATACTCAACAGCTGGTGGGGCTGGGGTTACTGAGGGTGGCTGGGAGAAGAGTTAAAAATAGCAGAAAGGCCCAAGTGGAAAGTTTCTGTAACATCACAAGTCAGGCATTTGGTGCTTACCCGCCCTGACAGGCGGGAGCCCATGCCAGAGCCCTCTCCGCCGTCCCGCAGCCCTTTCCCACTGACCTCCCTGCAACTTTTCACACGACTTCACCAGCCCTTCGTTTTTCTAAATAACTCTTTGGTTCCAGACACTGAATTTACTTCTTGAAAGAGCAAAATCAGACACGAGCTGCGCTCAGCCTGGAAGCGTAAGGGTGCACAGGAGGGCAGGGCTCTTGCTGCCCTGCCTTTGGGTCCCTGTGTGCTGCTGGCAGCACGTGGAGCCCAGAGGAGCTGTAACCGCCTGTGTATCCATTCCCATCTGCATTTCAGTTTCCCCCTGTTAAAAATCCTCTTGCTTCAAAGGGCCCGGGGTGGATTTCACCAGCCGCGTCAAGCCCTGCTGTGCTGGCGGCACCCGGGACGCACAGTTTGTCCTGGACTGCGATGGAGATGGATGAGTGCAGCTCTGAGCAAGCCCAGCTCGCCGTGCTTGTCCTCTTTCTGCGAGAAAGCAGATGTACCTGGCTGCTCCGACCAGCTTTCTCCACTTCTGTTTGTCTTTCAGGATTGACAGTGGCGGCTCATTTCATTCCTTCTCCCGCTCGGAGCCCCAGGGCTTACGTCTGGCTCTGCCTCTCCGGGAAGGCCGCCGAGCAGCGAGCCTGCCTTGCAGGGGCGTCAGTTGCCAGCATGGTCTCAGAAAGGGCCATGGAGCAGGGCTCAGGCGGGAGCTCATTGCTTTTGTAGGCAGAGCCGTTAGGGGCTGGGGTAGCCCACGAGGCATGAGCCAAAAAGCAAAATAGTGCTGGGGTGAGCTGGGGGTTGGGCTGAGCTGTGGCTCATGCTGAACAGGGGCTGCACACAACAACCCTCCTCTGGTTTAAAAGGATTTTGCCCCTGCTCCCCCAGCCGCTTGCTTTGTCCCAGAACATGTGTCCGAGCCCCTCCTCGCTGAGAACCTGTCCCAGACCCTGGGGACATGCACAAGGTGGCACAGCTAACACACGATGGGGCTGCCATGCTGGGGACAGGGCGGCTCTGAGCCCTGACTGGCTGCACAGAGCATCTGAGCTGTCACCCACCTCCAGCCATGGCCGCGTGGGAGCTTCTCCTCGCACCGAACCAGCTGAGGCACAGCGGCTTATTCCTGCTCTTTGCTTTGCCCCTCCTAACTCTCCTCTCTCTCTCAGGTGCACACCAGATACAGAGGTGGCCCTCAGTGTCCCCGCCAAGGAGACGCCGCTCGTCCGACACTCGGCCAGGCTCCACTCGCAGGCCCCTCGCCCAGCGCACGGCACGGCCGGGCCCAGATGAGGTGCCGAGCTGCAAAGCCCCTCCTTTGCTATCAGCACTTCTCCATCCCAGCCCCGCTCAGCCGCCCTGGGGACTCTCTGATGTGGTTACATGGTGCAGTAAAGGTGTTGCAGTCATTCCTGGCCCACGTGGGCTGTGCCGCGCTCACAGGCTGCAGTCCCTTGGACGGAGCACGGGGCAAGCCCTGTGACCACAGCCCTCCCGTGCTTGCAGCCTGACCCATCCCCTTCGTGCCGTCGCAGTAATGCCGGAGGGGCTGAAGCCGAAAGGGGCCTCCCTGTGACTGTGCTCGTGCTCTGATCGTGGGGGGTGTCCTGGAACTGGTTGGGTGCGGTGAGGCTCTGCCAGCACATCCCAGCACGAGCCAGACTGGTATCCCAGCATGAGGTCAGAGCGGTGCCCACGCAGGGCCAGTGCTCGGGCAGTTTGGTGCCAGTGCCAGCAGTGCCACCGTGCCAACCAACAGGTTCAAATAAAACTGGCTTCTGCTCTCGCCCGCACCAAGCGAGCCTCCAGGCGCTCTT